TAGAATTAAAAAACCTTGCGGGCTCTTGCGGGCTTATTCGCCTGCGAGCAAAATGCGTTCAGCCCGCAAGAGCCAGCCCTTCTGAAGGCACCGCAAGTGATCCCACTCGCACCCACCGCAAGCAGCCTGCATGCGCACTTTCCGTTAGTCCAGCTTAATGACAGAAGTTCAAGAGCGGCAGTTTTTGAAAACCCCCCCGAGTACGGAGCGTAAAATAAATTATCCATCCCTTACAAATAAAAAAAAACTTTGAGCACCTGGCCACCGTAGCGATCTGCCGCGCGCTGCGCGCTGCGCTATGCCCAGTGGAGCGCAAGGCTGCTCTGCTCGGGCAGCACGCGGCCGCAGCTCCGCGCACCGCGCACTCGACGAACCATTGGCAGTTTCATTTCGCCATCAGACTCGCTCGCTCGATACGGCGAAGTTACGGCTTCTGCACTGAATCCAGACACAGTAGTAACGGAGGGGGATTAGCCCTGTGGCCGTAGCATATCGGAGTGTTCCCGCGGCGTGGCGCGGCGTGGTGCGGCGTGGTGCGGCGTGGCGCGGCAGGACGTAACGGGGCGTAACCAGGCGGCCACGCCGCGAGCGCAGGGCGCCCGCCACGTGCCAACGCGGCCACGTAAGGTCAAAGCGGAGAGGCGCTAAAAACTAAAAGATGATAACCACAAGGATAAACCATTCAGCTGGTTTCTTTTCGCTGGAGCTGCGGAGTAGACGACACGCCGCGCACGCCTCGGACAACACTACGACAGTCGCCTCGTCAAAATCCACCATATGCTGAACGCGCGATATATACCAGTCAGCTCATCGCGACAAGTTTTCCTCTATAGCGTCCCCGGCGGCGGGAGCAGTTCACGACTTTTCCGGGAGTCTCTCTCTCATCAAGGAGATGCGGAGGGCGAGGCCAGCATCGGATCGAGCAGATCGTGCGACAGACAGACGCAGCCCCCCCCCCCCCTCCTCCTCGCAAGGCCGTCGCCGCACCGATCCTGACGTGATTCGGGAGGAAAGAGACGAGTAGGCGGGGGAGGGGGGACCCCCCACCCTCCCCCAACCTGCGCTGCCGTTACTCAGTGAAAGTGGCAGCAGCAGACCGAGCGGCGGGGCGGGGCCTCAGAACGTATCACTTCCGAAGCGGGGCGCTCGGCGGCGCCGACTGCTCGGTCGCGTGCCGAGTAAGACGTTATGTTATTTCATTACTTTACTACTACTACACAGCCCGCCTGGAGGGAGGAAGCTCGTGCCGAAACAGAACTGTTATCGCGCTGGAGATTACTGGTGAACCTCTCGCCCCGCTGGGCTGGGGCGGCCTATGCGGCCCGTCCGTCAGGAAGGTGAGCCCTCTGGAAGGTTGCCTGCACGTACCGGGCTCTACCTTGGAGACTGGCGCAACTATAAGAGACATTGGGACGGGGGCAGGACATTTTAAAAAATGTCAACAGGATCGCCTAACTGGGACTAACTTGGACGCTAAAATGTACTTCAGCTAAGAAAGGAAGAAAAGGCGACTTTCAATGTAAATTAATGCAAAGCAATGCTTTGCAAATGGTTGAGGATTAGGATGCTTTGTAGACGACTTACAAGCTTTATTTTTTTGCATTTTGTAACAAAGCCATGACCGCAAATTAACACTTCATTATGCACTCACCGGTCTATGCTCCGCGTGTAGTACCGACACAACCGAACAACAGCAAAGGATCGCGAACGAAATAATAAGTGACGAAAGGTTATAAGTGATTAACAAACACCCCCCCCCCCTCTCTGGACAGATTCATACAATAAACATAAACACG